AGGCAATTTTTTTGATTTTATGATAAAAACATAAATTTGCGAGTAAAATATACATAGTTAGTTTAGATATCCATTATTAAATTTTTTACTTTTATGTTTTTCTTTTTAGATATTTTGCGTTATATAATTAGATTAAATTATAATTATTATTTAAACACATTCTGTGATTTATTTAAATATTGCTCTTTTTATAAATAGATATATAGAATTTCTATTGTGTGTTCAAATGGAAATAAAAGTTTCTTCCAAACTTAAATCATCGTATTTTGCTGATCTGTCTACCTAGATATATTTATTATAAAAAGAAAATTAATATTATTGCTCTTTCTTACAAACGCAATAATATTAAGCAATATAATAATTTATCAATTTAAAAAGCTATAGTTTAAGTTTAATATAAATAAAAATACCTAGAAAAGTTTTAAAACTGTACTACATCTGGCACACCTTGAGAAGGCGAGAAAGAAGCACGTTATCGTCATTTGTATCTCCCTCTTATACGTATATAAATATTAGATCTTAAGAGACACGTGTGTGTGTGTGCATGTCTGTGAGTGTGCGTGCATACGCGCCCGTATCTACGAGAGAGAAAAAGACAGAGAGCGAAATTGCGTATTAATATTAAATTTCCACGAAAGTTTGCAGTAAAGCGACATCGTGACCGATAGCTCAGCTAGAGTCTGCAACTATTTTGCCGCGACTATTTAAATTTTTATATTTCGCAATATTCTTTTTGACAACGTTTCTTTATTCGAGAAAAATACCTTAAAATAAATATTTAATTATTAAGTAAAACGATTGTGCAGTTTCGGTGTCTGAAATACACGATTGAAGCAAATTGACATTGGTTAAATTTCCACGAAAGTTTGCAGTAAAGCGACATCGTGACCGATAGCTCAGCTAGAGTCTGCAACTATTTTGCCGCGACTATTTAAATTTTTATATTTCGCAATATTCTTTTTGACAACGTTTCTTTATATTGACAATATTGTGTGAAAGATGAAATTAAAGAAGTATATAATGTTTGTAAAGTGAGTATCTAGTGCATTTTTTAGGGTGACTTCCAATATTTTATCGGACATATTATACAATATGGCTCTTTCAGAAAAGTATATCTCATTATCATCTTTCATTGAAAAACGAAGGAATAATTTTGAAATATTTTATAATAACGTTGAATTTTTTATGTAACATTATGTAACATTCAACTGTAATATCAAATTTGACGATATTCTACTGTAATAGTAAAATTATATACAGAAGTAAGAGCAATACTAACTTCATCAATTGGAGGTAATAAAGCAGTAACTGGTTGTAATGTACTTGTTAAAAACTCCTGGGAATATCATTAAACGTATGTAACGAATATGCGATTATAATTAAAATAATTAAAGCCCTATTAATCCATATTCCAATATCGTTAACTGTGCATTCCGTGTATCCCGCGAGATCGTAATTACGTCCCCGAGGATATAATATTTCTCGTAACGCTATATTTTTACCGAAATTTCGTTTCCCTTTAAACGAACTTCAGTATATGGCGCACCAGCACGCCTCTCGTGTCCCGCAAGGAAGATCCTGTGGGCGAATTTATCGAAGCGCGCCCATGGGGAAAGCATCGTAACACGTTGCACGTTGTATCCCAGACCGGTTGCACCTGTTTCTCTGGGGTGAAAATCCCATGGGTGGTCCATAATGTGGCGACCGGGGATATTGCTTTACGATCGCGATTATGTATACATTTTTATTACAAACGCGTCATAATTTTAATTTAATTGTTTAATTTAAAATACACATTTCTTTCCTAATCTCCCCATCATTCTTTCAATGTCTTAGTAAAAGTAAGTTTGTTTTTTTAAAGCATATAATATATTATTGTCAGCGAGGAAATTGAATGCAATTCAAATGTGAGATGTGAAATGCGTTTTTTCCCTCATGTTTAAATATTATAACAGAGTATAACGGAATATCCCATATAGCTCTAAAGCCGGCCCTCCTCACGGCGATTCGTCATGGCGGTTGACAGACTAAATACCGCCCCCGACGAGTTTTTTTTTCTACAAAGGACCGGCTCCTTCTGTCGCGAAGGAATACAACATACCAGAAGGACATAGACGGGGAAAATATGTCCGCTACGTTCCGCGCGCATTATAAAGCACCTTTTGCGGACGTATACATATATACGGGGCGGCGGTAAGTCCGACGAGAACCCGCGGGGGTGACGTGCGGTAACAATATATGTATGTATAACCGAGCGACGTGCTAGCGGAAATATACATAAATATACATTTTTATGATGAATATACTCGCGGAAATATATATCACCCCTTGGAGAGAAGATCCCGAAGTTTAGTAGTAACGTTTAAAGGTTGTAAGGGAGGAGGACGAGGGGTGTAGTTTAGGGGTGGGCGTTCGAGTATGGTGCATCGTATTGGTGGGATTCGTAAACGGATGTGAAAAGATACGTCAAGTCTTTCTCGGGATATTTTGCACCCTCTTCCTATCCATATACCAGTGGTATTTCTTCCCGGACAGTCTGATGTATCATGCGCGACTATAGTGCACTTGTGGCAAATCAACACGTATCGATACTTATTGTACGAAAGACGATTTTATGAATGAAATTTTCCATGCGTTATTCTCCGAATTACTGTGCTAATTGACTTTTAAAATTCTTTTCGCCGATCATAAATAAAGCAGACTCGCCACAGTGATCCGCAAAATGGATTATCCAGTCGCTGGGATGGGCGTAGAAGACGTTCTCATTTACTTCGCGGTGTCGTCACGAGAGACGGAAATAATAGAGAGATTCGCGATTTTAAATCCCCGCTCTTCCCAGCGCACATTCCGCAAGTCCGGAGCACCGATTCCATCCGTGGAGATCCATCACAGCTTTCTCCACCTCGCATTTAATCTTTCTCGCTCGCCTCCGAGTGAATTCCATAAAACGTAGCGCCTCTTAAACCCTCTCGAGAGCACTTCCGGTCCGTTGTTCCATTCTTCTGCTACTCAACTTGGCTCGATTACGAGAGACAGTCGCTTAGACAGCTCTTCGGTTCTTGCGGGCCAATTTGAAGAACGAGAGTCAGTTGAAAGATTTAGAAGAGGATGAGTTATAGTACATGCTTAAGAATTAATTCCATTTTTTTTAATACATACGATCATTAACTTTTTATTTTAAAAGTTTACGCCAAAAATATAACTGAATATTATATATTAGCTGAGATCGATCCGATTATAAATATCGAAGTTATGATATCACCGGGTTTGGAAAATATGATTTCGAGAAAATCGCGTTTAAAGTTTCTGGTATTAGTTTCTCATACTTATAGTATATATTTCTAGTTAAAATCTGCTATTCCTGGTTCGTATCAAATAATCCGTCCATTTTTTATTAAAGTCACGTAGCTCTTCTACGTTTCCTCGATCAGCTATATAAGTTTCTTTTTAAGAAATAATTTCAGCGCTCTTCATTTCCGCGCGCGTGACTCGCTGTTAATTAGCAAACAACTTAAATTGTTGGTAACTGACAATGAGTATTCCTGTTGTCTCCATAACTTTTAAGATATTAACATAGTGCTCATTAAAATTTTCTACAGTCAAGTATGCAGAGATTCAAGAACTATTAAGCCACTATGAAAGTGTTTCGTTGCGAGACGTTAGATCATCGTGTTAAGACTTTCGTTGTTGTTTTGGCTATGTCCACTGTTTGAACATCTTCGTGAAGTAGTAGATGCCTGGAGTCCTCGGAACACAAAGATCCCGCGAGCTCCTACCCTTACCTGAGCGCGTGAAACGAACAGACGTCTCTCTATGCTAAACTGTTTACAACTTCGTCAATACTTGAAATTTTCAAACACTGTAGAAACATATTCTTGAGATGTACTATAAAAGTGTGCAAAAAGTTTTTAACTTTTTGAAAGTTTTCGACCAGAATTCCTCCCTTAACGCAATAACGAAAGTTTAGACAATTTTAATCTCGATTTTAATTATCTATAATACAAGGTTATTTGATATTAAATAAAGGAGTAAAACAATAATTCTTGTATTGTAGGAATGAATATGCTCGAAGTAATGTTTGTCTACATCGATACAACATTGTAATTGTTGAGTTCTTGAAGCACCTTCTTCCGGATTGATCGTCGCACATGCTACAATAAAATAATCCGATCTTCCTCTTCTTCTTGTAAACCGCGTACATATTGTAACATAACGATTAACAAAGCATTGTACGTGTATATTAAAAAAATGTCGACTACATCAGAAGATATGACACAAGAAATTATTGCAGCATGTGCGACATTCAGTTCGGAAGTGTTAAAAAGTCTACGTGCTCCAGGATTTCAACCAAAGTATTGCATTGATGGTAAATGGACGAGCACTACAAGTACCTCTTAAGACGTAAAAATTATAGTTTACCGCCAGAAGATTCAAAATTCGATGATTTAAAAATAAAAAATTTAATCGATTACTCAATTTAAAGTGGATTTACTGTTGCAATAAAAAGTGTTTTAAGACAGACAAATAATCGGCACGTAGTTGATTTACACAATAATTTGGAAAAAGTTTAGCAAATTCACGCAGAAATATTGTTATTAGTCTATCAAGATCCAACCCGACCTGAAAATGTTCTCCAATTACATTAGATAAGATAGAAAATATTGGAACATATATGCAACGTTACAAAAACGTGTGCGAATTCTCCATCTTGTGGCACAAGCGTGCACTGCGTTCATTGGCACCAACGTTAGACATTATGGTTTTCTACCGCGTCGATGGAAGAACCAAGGGACTCGCTCTTTCTTCCTTAGGGTAAGTCACTGGAAGATCGTCTGATAACCGACCGGCTGAGTCGCAAGACCCAGCACCCGTCTCTGATGCGGGAATTCTGAATACTGGTGACAGGCCGGGTGTGCCTTTCCATGACCAGATGTCGGCAGTCTGTCCATAACCGGTTCGATCCGGAGTATACCGCGCATGGAGCAACGCGCATTCCCATTGACCAGTCTGTAGTCGGAGCAGCCGTGCACTCGGGCATTTAGTAATCGTACGACGTCGTTGGGAACACCGTGCGCTCTTTAACGTCAGCCTCGTCACGGTGCCCTGTCTTCGCACGTCCCGTAACGTCACATCGAAAGACGCGTATCGAGTCGCGATCGGTTATCAAGTCTTATAGGGCGCAATTGTCTCTAATTACGTGCGTCTACTTAAAACACGGTGAAACCCACCGCGACCAAGGCACAGACGAACCCGCCAGGGTTTTTCTTAGTAATCGCGTTTAAAGACCGCGCGAAAGCTGCAACTCTTCTTCAGCACGCGGACCCCACAGCGGAATTCACGCAGGAAGAGGTGAGTCCCAGACCAGCTGTCCTCATCACCTGTCTACACCCTTCTGCCCTTTGTCTGCCATCCCTTCGGGAATCTCTCGACCGCTTCGACCTATCGATCAGCGCTACGTCCGTATGGTTCGAATGGAGTGTGTATTCGGTGTGCGCGCCGTAAAATTGGTGTTAGTTGCTTGCACGCGCGCGCATCGGTATCTCGCGTTCACACGCGGACCTCGTCATCGTCGTCGTCGTCGTCGTCGTCGTCGTCGTCGTCGCCGCCGCCGTTGTCGTCGTCGTCAACGGAGGTTGCAGCGGCGAACCGCGGTCGGTGACGCTGTGTCATGCGGCGCTGCGAAGGTCGAACCAGGCGCGCTAGATCGATCGCACGCCAACGACATAGCGCGAACGATCTTACTGTAGCCTTCGCCTCCTAGGCAAGTACGGTTCCGTCGGGGCGAGAAACGGGGTTAGACTGGACAATCGATCGTTCCCAGGAAAGACGTCGCAAGAATAAAGTAGCCAGTGACAGCCGTAAATTCTCGACTGAACGTACCTGCTTGCGCGCTGTTACTGCGACTTGCAGAAATTGATTCTATTTCTCTGGTTTCTACCAGTTCTCTTTCTCCCTCTCTCTCTCCTTTTATTTTTGAAAATTTAAACATTTAATAGAAGCTCCTAAACTTGGAAGATATGTGTAAACGCGATATGGACAAAATCACCTCCTAGATTCCTAGGAACTGGATGTCTGTACTTACATAACGACAGCTTTCACAGAACAAGTATCCTCAGTGTTAAACTCAAGCCTAATGACTACAAAAAAAACTAATAGCTTCTAATTATTTTTCAATAATTTGCATCTCTTAACGTTCTGTTTCGTAAAATTCCAAGTGAGCAATTAGAAAAGAATTAGTAGCTCTATTTGTTGGAAAGATTGAAGTAACTTTCAGCCATTAAGAAGACCTTTTTACATTATATTTGAGAGAGAAGCAAATAAAAATTATCGCGTCCTAGTTACCAGCGTCCAACAATTATATCTTACTCGCTATCTGATAGTAGACGTAACAACTTGCAGCTGCTTCCACGATGCACCAAGCATGTAGGATCAATGCTACGTGAGTTGCACAACGGAAGAAATAACTTCGGGATACTGTCGAGTAAACTGTCAGCGGCGATAAGATATTTCTCGTCGGTTTGAGAGTGGAATCCTCATTTTCAAAGTTGTGCTTTAAAACCAGTCACGACCATTTAACGGGATATTAATTTTTATAGAAAATCTGCTAAAGTGAAATATAAAGAAAGCACGTGTGGAAATTTTTTCTAAGAATTTATAAAACTTTACTTTGTGTGCGTTATTCATTGGCTAATAAATGAGAAAGATAAGTAGAGACAAAAAGAAAGAAAGAGAGAGAAAGAGAGAGATTCAATGATTATTTTATTAATTATTGTACGCTTTCAAAAGACTCAAAAAGTTCAGTCTGAAAAACGGAAACGTGAACAGAAAATTCACGTTGGTGCCTAAACGTAAATACGTTTCTTTGTAATTTAATTACTGTAACAACTTGAGATCTGTTAAATCGGCCTGGTAAACAGAGCCACCAGCAGAAGTATCAGAGATGTTCAACTCAGAGCTCAATTATATATTGAGCTATATAATTATATACATGATACTCAATTATATCGTTTTACGAATAATTATATCAAAGCTACTTCTCGTATTGATAAATTTCTACGTAACGTATATTTCTAGATATGCTCCTCTACTCACACTTGATATTAATAATAACGTCATCAAACGATCGACCATACATTGACTCGACGATTGCAACCCCTAATCGCCCGATCAATCGTTGATTGTCGATCAATGATACACTTGAAAATTATGTAAAAATCTAATACACTTGATTGTTCTGAAAATAATCAAACATGATTTAACGTCGTAACTAAGCCATTAAAGTCCCTAATGTCGTAGATCAGTCGTACGAATCAGTGGACGTCAAGTCGGCTAGCCTCGGGCGAAAAATTAGATGTCGAGAAACGGGGTTAACCCCGACGTTACACGCGAGTATCTACGTGAAAAATCAATACGCGACTCTCCGGGGACCCGCTTACAACACGCGCGCAGAAGTCTATCCGCGAATTGGTGATCACCGCGTGATCACTCGAAGGCGGTATGCATGCATATTTTACCCGGAAAGGTCCTGGCAAGATCGATTTCTCCGCCAGCACGAGGCGCTAAGACGTAAGCAAGCCGAGCGAGTCCGCAGCTGATCCAGCTGCTACACTCAGCATCATCGATATTTGAAGAGCTCGGCTCCAGAATGACACGCGTTTGCCTCGGAGTGGGACAAATTGAAATAGAAGACTCTTCCCCTTACCTTTCTTTCATATCTCTCGCGGATTATTTTCACGTTCACCTTTGACCTTCCTTTCATACTTCTTGAGAATTATTTTAGCTTATACCTCATAGAGATTCGAAACCGGTAACCCGTTTCTATTCGAATAATCACTAGTGCAGTTAAATGTATCATTTTTGGAAAATGCATATAGATCGTTTACTTTAGCATCTCGGTGTCCAATAATTAATTCAAAATAACAACTTTTTGCGACATTTTATTGCAAAACGATTTGCCGTTTTTTTTTCACGCTCGGTTCTTCGTGTGCTTCACTTTAATGCGCAGTTGTCAATTCTTGACGCTCAGTAATAACGACCGTAACATATAATCTTGCCGCATCTCGGAATAAGTTCTCTTGACCAACGGAAAATTTTAATTGACAGGAAACACACGTGCATGTTGTTAGACCGGTACCACAATATTCCTTTTTCTTGTCCAAAAACAAATCGGCTCTTCTTTAAAAAAGAAAGTACCATGTTGTAATCGCATTTTTTTTTGCGTTCGATTGATCTACGACTTGGAGTGTATCTGAAACAACTCACGACAACAAAACTCTTTCAACTGTTTTTACTATAAATATTGTCGACCATTTGCAATTCATTGAACAAGTGTATCATATCAACGGCTACACCCATATTTAAGTATCTGATATCTGTGCGTGCAACAAATTGGGTGTGTTTACTGATTATTCTCGATAATATCATATCAATATAAAAAATTATATTAAAGGGAAACACGGGAGAAATGCGTATCTCTTTTGATCAACGAATCGACCAAGTGGCGTTAATCGCAGATCACCCCGTGTACACGTACCGATTTATTTATTGCGCAAATTTTTTTTCATACGTCTTTTATTTCTACCACGAGTTCACGTTACGTGCCGTGTTAGTCTCGCGCGCGAAATGAAATCAGTAATTGATTGCTCATTACTTTGGGAAAAAACCTCCCGAATTATTCTGTAAATTTTCATTTTATTCGTTAATTATTATACTGCACACGCTTGACTTCGCTGTTAAAGATAGCTATAGAAGACACTGATTACTGTTTCTTGTTCGCACGTTTCCTGTTTATCAACAGTGTTCCACGAACATGCATAAACAAATATTCACAATTGGCATGTCGCCACGCATGATTCTTTCGACATAGAACGGACTCGATGGATTTTGTGCATGTCGACGATCATTCCACGTATCTTACTTCACTTCTCACATTTTAGCGAGAACGAGGCATCGGTAATAACAGTTGTTTTTCATGTAAATCACGCAATCTGGTTTGCTTAATTATAAAACAAGAATTATACTGTCAAATTCTGTGTCCTGATTATCTCTCGACTAATTTACATATCTCAACCAATATAATTTCAAAAATATTTTCATGAATACCATATATTGTTGAGCTCAACCAACATACCCTAACAAATATTTTTATCAGTATCATATTATTGAACAGCAACAATAATTGGGTAAAAACTTTCTTCTTTCAACACATGAGAATTTTTTTCAGATAATCTAACTAGAGTTTCTTTTCTACGGCTAATATTAAAAATATTTTTACATACATTTAATATCGCATGTATGTCGTAACATAATAATAAAATGCAGATCTACGTTGATTTGGCAAGCGTTGCAAAAATATAGAATATCGAAATACTGGAACAATGGTAGCTTGCTCGTTTATTCAGTGAGAATGACGGAATTGTTTGAGCTTTTGTATGCACATTCATAAATAGAACACGATTTCATATCCAGAAGTCCAAGCGAACAGCAGAATTCACAGAAATGTGTTTATATCTCTATACTTGCACAATCTGGATTTCGAATTTAAATTGAAGCTCAATAAAATTGTTTACACTAGAGATTATATTGAATACGCGATAGAAAAAGTTAGTGTATTTTACAAATTTACAATATAAAAAATATTCAATTGAATCGTGCAAATCTATCCTCCTCTCTCCTCTCTCTTTCTCTTTCCTTCCTTTTATTATTGTAGTAACTAATTTTTTTCACAATTTTATATGCAGTTACTGCAAAATATGTTTAGAATATTTTCTGTAAAAATAACAAATATACAAGATACAAACTAGTAAAATTAATTAATTTACCAAATTAATGAGAAAGAGAGAAAAAATACAAGAATACAACTAGGAAAATTTTAATGACTTATGATGAAAATGTTGCTGGAAATAGCAATGTGAATAATAATGACGTTAAAAAACTTCTTTCAAAAACTGAATAATATAAATTTAATAATCAGTGCATAAAAGATTTTACGTGCATTCACAAATCTGAGTATATGACTAGATATGAAATCACGTATCTGTCATGAAATGTATCTGTCATGAAGTATTCAATATCGCTTGTCTACTTCTTTGACTTTATAAAATCTGGTTGAGAGAGCCCTCAATATCTTTTAAAGCAATAAATGCTATTTTAGTCGTTGATAAAAATGAGAAAGAAACAGATGCATGTTCTTATTTATAGGAACCAACTATTAATTGACTGATTAGTCATTGTAATTTATTATAAAAAGATATTTCTCTAATATTTAATTAATATAGAAAATTAATGTTGTAATGTTGGTGTTTTTTTTTCCAAAAAAATCCATTCGATATACAACCTAACGTTCACCGATGCCTCGAATCGCGCCGCGATCGCTGTCACAGGATCTCCTTATCTTTGTTTTTTCTTTCTTTTGTTTATTTGCCGTTCGTTTGCCTTGTTGACGTGCGATATTGGCAATATCGGCTTCGGGCACGCCTATCATCATCAGCGGCAACAGCAACGCCTCAACTCTCGGCGCCTTCGAGGCGAGTCTTCGCCGAGAGGGCACCTATCTGGACGGTGGAAACCATCATTCCCGACCAGCGCGACGATTAATTAGGTCGTCTCGAGTGAGAGACGGCAGTGCGAGCGAAGCAGGGCGACGAAAGGTCACGCCATGCCGGCAGGTACTGGCGCTTCGTACAGGTCCTTAGGCGACCTGGGCGAAGACGTATACAAAAGCACAACCATCGTCGACCAGACACAGACTACCGGCCAGAGCGTTCTTGAATCCGTGAAGAAGGCTTTTAGCTTCACCTCACCGAAGGCCGAGATGCGAAAAAAGGACCCGTTGATCGAGGATCGTCGCGAAAGCGCCTCGATCGTTTCAAGGTAATGCTTTAAAAGACATTTTCCGGATACGCGGGGGTCGACAGATAGAGGTACAGTCGCCGGCAATATCGTTTTCCTGTTCCTCGACCTCTAAACGAATCTAGTCGCTCTTTCAAGCATTGATAATTCACTACGACTCGTCTCATCGATCTGCTTATTAATCCAAAAGCTTGCCACGCTTATTAACATCGTTTTTATATATATCTATCTGTATATATAACTTGAATAAGAATGTGTAATTCCGTGACTTCCAAGTATTTTTAAAAGATGAAGTCATGCACTTCCAATACTTTTTAAATAAAATATATATTTTTATATTTTATATACTTCTTCAAATAAAAGCTGATTTGCGAATCTAATATTTGCTTAAACTGTTTTGTTATATCAACCTTAGTCCGATAAAAGCTAATGGCTTACTGTTAATAATCATTTCATAATATTAATGGATTATATTGAATGTTGTGAAACAAATCAATTGATATTGATAAATTATAAAAAGTTAAGAATTTAGAACTAGAAACGTACTGATTATTAAATGACTTTCAACCAAATAATTGCAAAACCCAGCGATAATCAGTAATTTCTATTTCTCCATAAAAAAAAATTATGCAAATTGTAGAATGTGTCAAAAGTATGAAATTAATTTTTATAAAAATGTCACATTTTCTATATCGAAATTGGTAATTGGGACTTGTTTCTACCAAGTTACTTTCAACCACCGGAAAGACGCTGAAATTTTATACATTAAAGAAATACACCGTGAAGCGATCGAGAACTGTTTTAAATAATATAAAGAGAATTCACAGTTTTATCCACACTAATGTACAATCAACACTGAGGATACTGAGCTAAAAGACAAAGCGGATGCAATCAGTGACGGAACAGTTAGTGCAGAGTCGTTAAAGAGTTTGTGGGCGATGAGCATTTCGAGGTCGAAGACATCGAGGCATGGTTATAGTGCTTTTATTGTTAGCTACTATGGCGAACAAAAGTTTCATGAAATCGATCGTAGCATTATCGACGCGGTTTTTATAACTTTCGTTGCACAGCTTCGGTCTAGAAAAACATCTTTACTGCGATATACTAAACCAAGCACTAGAGAGATGTGTAAAAATAATCATTTGAATTATTGAGTAATATATGTATACGCTTCAACAAGTATAATATTTTACACAATACTATATATGCTGTGTAGTAATAAAATAGTGACAAAAACAGTACCAGAATTCTAATAGGAATACAAGAAATCTTGAAGACACGTGAAATTTCACGAATTCGAAAATACTGTTAAATGGCAACCTCAAGATATACACACAATGTACATGTTTTCTACAAATACGCAAACGACTTGCTCGGATCGTTACCCGCGTGAAAAATAAGGTCATGCTATTCCCATTATTCCAGAACATTGACCTGTAGTTCAAGAAAATTTTCTAGAGAACTTCCTACTTTCATCCTCAAAAATGTAATTTTCCGAGACATATGAGCTTATTTCCCGTGAAAATAATATTAAAAATGTATATAACTTTATTCTTTATGATTTCTATGTATTTTCATTTTGTAAAGTCTGGTCTGGTACGTTGATTTTCTATAATATTTAGACATTCATGCAGTAACGTTTGTTTTTATTAAACAATTTTTTAAGAAGGTACTGTAAATTTAGAACAAAATAATCGCCTTTTGCAACAAAAGCGTCAACCGCGTCGAGAAATAAGCGCAAAAATAATGTTGCACAAAAAATGCAGAAAATATTACTCGCCAATGCCGTGTAGCTAAAGCAGCGCTTGCAATCTATTGATCTTTAATATTACTAACAACGATCTTTCGCCTCAATAATGTCCAAAGGGTACTTAATGCACATCTCATAATTAAACATCTTCGAAAGCTAAATCAACATGGAAACTAAACACTCGGATTATGACATCAACTAAAAAGGAATTTCTCAGTTTTGCGCGCATGCTATAAATTGCCCAGCAGCTTCAGCAACGTCTACAATAATTAAACACGATTTTTCTTTCTTAAAGAAATCAATAATTACATGAACAGTGCACATTCTCGAATATACCTCTCCATATTTGTCAAGGAACGCATTTTTTGAGAAACGCATAATATAGAGATAAAAACTTAATTGAAACACATCAGTTCAAAGAAATTAAAGACTAAAGACATATTGACAATTTTGCAAAATATTTTACTTCAATTATATTCCATACGATGGTCTACCAAAATTATTTATATTTATATATACAATTATGCATTTAATTGCCCTGAACCAAATTGGAGAGAGACACAAAGCCAACACTTGGTTTTTGCACTTTTAAACTAGTAGACTAGTAAGTACAGACCAGCTTCAGGATCGGACATTAGTGGTGCTGTAATTAGACAACTCGTGTAAAAGACAAGAGTCGACCGAAGGTAAGTCATGCTTATGACACCTGAAAAGATCGTTCATTTCCCTCACGCTTCGAGCTTTTCACGCTATACCGACAGCACCAGCTTCTCGCATCCTTTTGTGCACGCGTGACTGCAATCACTGTAATCATCATCGCTTGGTTTATCGTTGTTACTGTTATTAACACTCTCTCTCTGTTGCATGCACGCGATCGGTCGTCTTCCTTTGTCCTTGCAACGCTCGAGTTGCGACCGTCCGTATCGCTTCGTGGCGCGCGACGGAAGCGCGTGCGTTGCAGAACCGGCTTCTCTCGTCGTCAAATGACCGAGGACGACACTCTCTGAATAAATGAGAAGTTTGCGATCATTCGAGTCAATTTAAAAATTCCATCGTAAACTGATATTGTCGTGTAAGTCAGGTTTGCAGCAGAACTTCACTTTCGTAATAATGGAGTATCTGAAGCGCTTTAATTTGTATTTTTACCGTACATTTACATTATAGTTATCCGACTTTTACACGTTTACATTATTTGTGAATTTTCTCGTATAAAAAAAGAAATCAAATTTGTCACGATTTTATATATTAATTTTAGTCCAGGCAACAATTTGATTATCCTATTATACAAGGCATTTTTATAAGTAAATTAGAATAAAAATATAAAACTTCAATATAAATACCAGTTAATTAATATCTTCTAAATACACACGTATATTGTATAATAAGTGTGTTTTAACTGTTAAAAGGCTTAGTATACTGAATTATTACATTACAGAAAATATTACATGATTAATCGTAGCATTTAAGTTTGATTTAATCACAGTGATACTCTACAAAAGTCAATCAGTGGATTATCACTGGAAACATGGAATAGTCACTGATTTACAGTTATAAGTATACCACTGCGATTTTCAATCAGATTTAGAGCGTGCGCTTTAGTAACGTCTGAGGTTCAATCTGCACTTCTTCTTTGAGAAGTTTATTTATTCAAATACGCATTCGAGCATGAGGCTGCCCGGCCCGGTTTAATTGCCCATAGAAAATGATAATTTCAAACAGTAATTTTACATTCAAGTGGGTGGTGTGCTAAATACCGGAAATCATGCTGCCATAGAACAAAGAGAAGCTGATTCTTAACAACCAATAGAATGCTTGACGCAAATACAGCATTGTTGTTCGCTTATCATGCTAATAGCTTTTACATTGTCGTTAAAGTATATGTGTGTGTGTTGTAACGGGTTTAGAGGCACGACATGCCGCTAGGGCTAGGCGTGTGTGATTATTCGCCGCCATTTTGTTCTAGGGAGAGAAACAAGATGCCGACAGCAGCCACTGCCGAGGAATCTGCTCTATTGGGGTAAGTTTTGCTGAGAGAGAGAGAGAGAGAGAGAGAAAGAGAAAACTGAGAGACTGTACCGCGTTTTATTATTCTTTATCTATACTTTTCGACGCGTATCGCATTTAACCGTAGCTGCAGTTTATGCTGATGCGTAGATGCGTAGATGCGTAGTAAAACTCAGAATAGTAGTTCATATTAACATGCCGACGCATCAGGAATGTAAGCTACACTTTTACACTACTTTGTTCATGTTTATCTACCCCTGGTTGTTTCACATCCCAGCCGCACGAGGCTTGACTCATTTAACACGAAACGGATAGTAGAAGCGAGGAAATAACAGAGTTATCGTTATATCAATATGTCATCTGGAATGACGAATGTTTTCGAATCGTAACACGATTTCGAAGAAGATACGATAGAGACGTGCTCTAATATAGAAGCTGACTGAAATATATTCCGCGTTTAGTGCTTGCGATACTTGAAATAAACACGCGAGATCTGACGTCTGGTTATTTGCAAAAAAGCTGACGCAGTACGCAGTTTGTAATATGCACTTTGATATTTTTGGTACCACGATGGGGGAACACTCATCGCGGAAATTTGTTTTTCACAACTGCCACGGACAATATTGACATTGACCCCGATGTGCGCAGCACCGAGTTGACCACATCATAACTCGCAATTGTGTTATTAAAAGCGTTATGTATACGCCTTTTAGCAGCACAACTGCGCAATAATTTGCAGAGGTCATCGGCGAGCATACGAAAGATACGTATCAGATTTACCATTACTTGAGGCATGTGAGTGACAGCAGCGGACAAATTTCTAGATTGGAAATTTGGAAACTGCACTGGACGTTGCAGTAAAAGCAACGACACGGTGCATTATCCTAAGCTGGCGAGAAACAGGGCCGCGGTATAATGTACGACGTAGTAGCCATATTGCTCTTCTATTATACGATATTGGTTTAACAGTCTGATTTAATATGACATCCAGCTGCTATTTAGAGCTGCGACCTATATTGGAGAGGCCTGCCATGGAGGCCTTAATTATTTAAGGCAGTTTAACGGAAGTTTCTAAACTTTCGGCATTTAAACTATGTAATCGAGCTACTTCATAATTCTTACAAACTCGCGTCGCTGTTGGTGCCACTTTCTGATTTGAATGTAAATGCAAAGTTAAGATCAAGTTTTGCTCTCTAGAAAATTTTGACAAAGTTTTCTTAAATTATGAATCATGTACTTGTCCCGTCGCAAATTTTCCTTCTTTGTCTTGATCTGGCGTTCATCTATTTCTATTCTTACTAAAGAAGTGACAAAGTTAGGAGTTAATGCTATACGCGGTTTGAACATTTATTAAATATTTTAGTCCTATTGTACCATTAAATAGTAAACTTGTAACTCATAATCCATTTAATAATAGAAATCAAACAAAATACAGAACAGTCAACGACACGTGAGCTCGAGTGCAGTTCCGCCGCACAAATGCTTTAAGTAATTAACGTAGGCGACATCGAGTTGCCCAATCAGAAAACTTAATGAGATATTAAATGTAAGTCTTGGCTAACGCATTCCATTATCGGCAATTACACTTCTACATGTAAAACCAAGCACCGTTCTTTCACCTAATTGTAAAACATATAAGTGGCTTTCAACCGATATTTGAATATTAACTCAAAAATCTGTTAATAAAAACACATTCTAAGAAAGAGAACTAACGTAGAAATATTTAACTCAAATATAAATGTTACTTATTATCATTATTTGACTGTCCTTTTTAATTTAAATAAATTTTTATATATTTTTTCTTCAAATTTGTTTTAACACACATTTCATTTCAAATAAATTTGGAATAGCTTAACGTTACACCTAAATTTTTTTACTTTGCATTATTATAAGATAAGATGATTATACATATAAACCCCCCCCCCCCCCAATTACAGTGGATGACAATGACGCTATCGATGTTTGAATATACAGAAAAGCATACTTATGCTTATATATTTAGACACGCTGAAAATGTGTCAATTCATTAAACGGGCAAATTGGAGGAAGTTTAATAACACGTAACATTCCACGTAATAGCCAGCTTAGGAGCTTTCTGAGGTTAACGACGTAATTCCACTTCGTCACTCCACCTCTTTCGTATCAGTCTTCGAGCAAAGACGTTCTATATATTGAGTGAAAGGACGAAGCCATACACCTTTCTCGACAGGTCCTCACAACAAAGTAATTAACGCCAAAATTAAGATTAATTAAGAACTATTAAGATCGTTATATGACGCCCTGTTCAGTGATGTTGTGCACGTCGCTTCGAAAACAATCATTCTTAAAGGTTTACGTATCCTATCTATTTTAATGTCTTGAGAGTGCGCAAACAAGACGCTACTAGAAAGCGAGAATACGTTCTGTTTAATCTCTTCAAGTACAATGTGTTCGCACACGTGGATTTTATTTTGAAAAAATATTCCTTTTGTAATAATGTAATAAATAGTATTTAATGGCAATTCAATTAATTTCGTAATATTAAAAATGTTATGTGAAAATGTGTAATCAAACAAAATAATATTTCATGATATGAATTTGATCTCATAAATGTATGAATCACAGAAAGATTAATTTAAACTTTTAATTAAAGCCATTTAATTAAAATGATTGTCTGCGAAAAGATCCAATACGTGCCTATAGCTCTGACTGATCCCATTCGAGGTTTTTAAGCTGTATTTTTTTAGTCCATCTCTTAAATTTATTTCTCTCTCCAATTTTTTAAATTTATTAATCAAGATATTGCAAATCTTTTTTTCTTATTATATCAATTTGAACATTTTCATTGTCTTAAACAATAACAGATATAATGAGTGGGAACAAGATCGGCCCCGTTTTTTTCGCTTCCGATTTTGGTCACAAAGTAGGTACCAACGAAAGGTCTCGTGAAGACGATCGCTGATATATGTCAGTCTCAGAGTGTACCTATTTAACATTCCAGAGATATCGGGCTCTAAAAATGCCAAAACCAATACCTTTCCGAACAAAAAGATATTTCTTTTGTCACTAACATGTTCAGAATGGCCAAGGGCCTTTGGTACCTGGTTCGATACCTGGTTGTAGATCATGTTGGTAAAGCGACTCACAATCAATATCATTCTGAACATGTCAGGCATATCTGCGATCGTCTTCACGAGACCTTTCGTTGGTACCTACTTTGTCACCAAAATCGAATGCAAAAAAAATGGAGCCATTTGCCAATGGACACTTGTTCTCACTCCTTAATAAATTTTCTAGTAGTAGTATTAAAAATATCTTTAAATGTCTCAAATCGCTCATAATGATTAGCGCAAAAACTGACAATGAGTTCGAAAAGAAAGTATATACGCGTTTATGCAGAATGTTAAAAGTCCTATTCGTAATTATAATAAAACAAAGTACGATCCTTTCTTTTGAACAAATCACAGTTCCGCAACTTAAAAGCCCCCCGGATAGAAGGGTGTAAATTTCTCTTTAATAGGTCACTGTTCTTCACGTCATGAAGAAAGCGAACATATATCGATCGAAGTTCAATCTAACAATAAGTCACTGATAAAATTCTTTGTCAACTCAAAAGAGAGTGTTTGTTAGTCGTCACGTTTTTCGATGTCGACTTTGTTTTTCTTTCGCTGAAATCTAATTTCCACTATATCGATCTACCATTTGGTCCATTAATTACCTAAGACAATAATAAATGCTTTTGCTAGGAAGTCGATACGTAACGTTTCCATGTGATGCGACTGCATACGTCGTATACGTCAGTGTTTGCTCTACTTTCGCTAGAAATTCACTCGGCATAACTTGGCAGTGCGCCAATTCCACCTCGATTCTTCGGTGCCGACTTTAAAAGAACTTTAAATTCTAATAGAGATAATATAGCAATAGGTGCATCCGAGTGTCTCTCGCAAGCTTTCATTTTCTACTTCAATCTTTTAATACAACTTATCATCATATACACATATACATACAAATGTATGAAGATGGATAGAAATTGAATGGCAATTGAACGGTTTGTATATTGGACCGAAGAATCAAAGGTAAATAGATTAAAGTTTTCACTGGAAATGCTGCATGGAATGAATAATTAATATGATTCAGCTGGAGCAATAACACGTAGAAATTAGTTTGGAAACTATTTGTAGAGATATGCAGCGATCTAGGATACTATTGCGAATTGCGAAGGATGAAGTTCCGAATTACGGACTGTTATTAATAATAGATACTAGACTGTCTAGTTCAAATAGTCGGTGCCTGAGCACGGTTCTGTTCACAGCGTGTTCTGCATCGTGCTTGTATTTGCGGTAGATAGAGATTTATTTGCTTGCCTCGGTGCACAAGGAACCGGTAGTGGAATAGAGTAAGTTGATCTTTATTGTGAGGCTTCGTCTTACAACCGGCAATAACGTTAAAAAAAAAGTCTATCGGCGCACTTCGGTCAATCGATCGATAAAAAGGGTATCGAGATATATCAAATAGCATATCCAGTGCTATTCCATGACGCGTTATTCGGTTATAGGTTGCGGTTGACTTGTCACTGTTAATAATATCGCAGTGGCGCTATTGATTTCTTAAACATCACGTAGTGATTTATTTTCAGCTTTGAAAAAATTATTTTAACTAGATGTCAAATCGTTAAATTTTTATAAAATTTGTTTTAACTGTATCTAAAAAAATAGATTTTTAATGAATATAAAAGAATTTCTGCAATTTACGAACAATTACTACAACATTAAAAAATGGATAGATTACAATCGCATGCTTTCTTTAAACTTAACCTTGACAGCAAGTGTACAGAAACAATTTGAATATTACAAGTGATACGATACACTTTTTCAGTAAGAAGAAAAGTAAACGAGCATTACGTAATAAAGAAGGAAAGAAAATGAAATATGAAGAAGAGAGGGTAAAAAGTTAATCTAAAATTACAATGCGATAACACGAAAAAAATCCAATTACATTTCGTTATAGCAATTTCTTATTTCACTTTAAAATTTA